TTGTGATCAGTCCTTTATCGCTACTTTTGTGTGAGAAAATGTTTTCCCAATTAGTGATCTTTCTGTTTGTTTTTAGTAATGTTTCTTTTGCTGTACAGAAGCTCTTTAACTTGATGTAGTCCCATCTATTTATCTTTGCCTTCACTATTGTGGCGTTGTGTCAAAGCGCTTGTTCTTAAACTCTTTTTTGGCTCCTGAACTGCTTTGGCAAACAACTGTCAAAGATGGAGCATCAAATAAATGCAAACCCAATTGCTCAAAAGGTCACATGAAGTTTATTTTGTAACAACGAAACCTGCAAATGGCTATTCGAACCCTTCAAGCCTAATGTGCTGTTTGTCTTTTTACTTTTATTAAAAAAATAGCAACTTGTCACTTCTCTGAAAAAAAGGGGGTGGGGCGGGGCTCCCTGGTGGCGCAAGGGTATAAGTCTCAGCACTGTGAAGCTATGGGCAGCCACTGAAGCACAGGTTCAGTCCCTGGCCAGGGAGCTGACCCACAGGGCACAGCAGACCTCTCCTGTGCCACCTGCTTCTCCCCTCAGCAGTCAATTTCTGTCAATCTGCCTGTTGCTCTTCTCACTCTCTCGTAAATCCTCTACCCCCACCCCCTATCTCTGGCCTACACCCCAGTTCTTGTATTCATAAATAAAAACATCTTTAAAATAAATTAAAATATATTGAGTATGCAATTAAAAAAATTTGGTTCATTTCTCCAATGGTATTTGAATTCATAACTTACCACTTCCCTTTTATTCATCAGATGCTGCTTAATAATCTATACTTCAACATAACAAAGCTTGAATTATTGAAGTGGATGCATGTAATAGGAAATCGCTGAAGGTTTTTGAACTCTAAAGAGTTGACAGTGAGGATATCCTCAGAGGTAAAGAAGGGCACTATTGTCGTTTTCATAGGGAAAGAGTTATCAAGGATCTGAAATGGTACTTGTAAAACAGACATTTTGGCTAAAAATCAAGAAAAATTAACCGAAAGCAGAATGTAAAGTTTAAAAAGGAAGTTTCATTCCAAACAGAAACATACAAATAGTTTCAGTTTATAAGGCCCCATGCAAGCTTTGGAGAATTCTGGACTTTGTAGAATTCTTTGCTGCCTTAAGTTATCTTGATCATTAGATATCTGTGCCAAAAAATATTTATCAATTTCATGAGACCAGATTTGTTTTTCAAGCTAAAAATTGACTGGCCAAGTAACTTGCCATTGTGTCTCAATAAAAGACACTTTTCCACCCTCTGAAAACTAAGGATAATAAATACAACTCCAGGACCCTTGCTGGTGGCACAGAGGTTTAAAGCACAGCACTAAGAAGTTAAAGCCACTTCAGCATGACCTCCCACATGGACCGGCAGATCTTTCCTGACTTGCCGGCTGCTCCTCTCAGCAGTGTACTTCATTAGTCAGCCTGTTCTGCTCTTCACTCTTTCTCTGGTGAATCCTCTTACCACCCCTGACCTCTGACTTGTACCCAGTTCTGCATAAATAAATAAATAAACCTTTCAGATAAAAATAAACACAACTCCAGCTGCCTCAGTGTGTTTCACAGTCATTAAAACAGTCATACTTGGTGAATCAAAATATCTGATGAGGGCTGAGATTAGGTCTAACAGGTCTCACAGTTAATTTTTTCTTTCTATGTTTTGTTTACAGATTACTTCACCATCTTTTTCTTAAATTCAAAATACAGTTAGGACTTGGATCCTCTGCACAGTGACTTAGGGGTGCATTTTACTAAAAGGACAGCGAATTCCTGGCTGGGAGACTTGGTGAACACAGTTTCCAACACAGAAGGTGGTTGTGTGAGACCACAGTAATTCTTGGAGGTTGCATCAAAGATGGCCTTGGCAAATTTGCCTCGAGTAAGAGTGTAGCTTCTGACCCAGATATGACAGCTGTCTATACTAGACTTCTCCTGCACCTTCTCGGGCCCACAGAAGATGCCAGCAGGGATGAGTTGTACCAGGACCACAGTGACCTACAAGCAGCAGTACAGGGTTGGCTCCTCAATGGCCTTGTCATCCAGCATCTAGAAAGAAGGAGCCAGAATCTTGGCCCTGCGCATGGTGCTGACTACCTCTTTGGAACATTTACTATCGAGATCAACATGGCTATTGCTGACCCTAATGGTGACAGATGCATTAAACTTCTATTGATTTATAACCTCAGGAATTTTTGGAATGAAATGCAAAACTGGCCCTGTACATAGAGGGCAAAAGAGACTGAAGAAACAGATTGGTGGAGGCCTTTTATTTTATTTTTTCCACTATAGTTATTTATTTTAATATTTACTTACATACAGAGGTGTGATGGTAAGAGGATTCACTAGAGACAGAGTTGGGAGCAGAACAGGCAGATCTACTGAAATACATTGCTGAGAAAAGTAGTGGGCGGGTCAGGAGAGGTCTGCCACACCATGTGGTTCATCTCCCTGGCTGGGGGCTGAACTGAGGGGGGCAAAGGCTTAGAGAGCTTCATAATTTGGTGCTTTAACCTGCTGTGCCACCAGGGAGAACCCCTACTCATTTTTGTATAATGCTTGATTTCTTCTCTCAGGCATAGGCCCCATAAAATTCCCACCACCATTTCATCCATGAACCATCACCATAGTCTCCTGTGCTCTTCCCATACCTGTTTTATTTTAAAAATATATTCATTATATCAGACTTCTTTTTTGTACAATGCATGGTTTCCCCGTGAAATTCCCACCACCCATTCACCCGTGGACCATCACTATAGTCCCTTGTGCTTTTCCAATCCTATCCTGGGCCTTCTCCCTCCTCCTGGTGAAAGGTCTTTTAAATAAACAAACAAACAAAAAATTTAACTATGAGGTTTGTCCTGCATGGCTGCAAGACTGGGGAGCTCTCTCACCCACATGCCAGAATCCTAAAAGTTGAATAGAGGCCTTCCTAGAGTTCAAACTTGTCTATAGTCCAGATGGTCTCAGGAAGCGTCCTTGAAGCAGCTCTGACTTTGGGAAGATGGGCAGAAGGTACATTCCAAGTCAGAGGCATGAAGAACTTCTGATTGTGCCACCCAGCTCTTTGGTTTGCCTGTGACAGTCATAGCCACTCAGTGATCTTCCCAACAGTTTGGCCCACAGGCCAGTGAGGGTTCATATTTGCGTGAGCCTAATGTGAAAAGTCTCATCTTTGAGTGACATCCCCAGAAAAAGTTGATGATATCAGACTCCTGATGGGCAAGGAGAAGAGTTAGAACTCCTTCAAAACTTACTCTTTATGGTCTTAAGGGAAGTCCACCTTCGAGATGAGAAGTCATCTGTTATCACCAGAGACAGAGTGGGAAGCAGAACAGGCAGATCGACGAACTACACTGCTGAGAGGAACAGCGGGCGGGCCAGGAGAGGTGTGCTGTGCCATGTGGGTCACCTCCGGGGTGGGGATCGAATTCATGCTGAAGCGGCTGTGGCCAGCTTCGTAGTACTGCGCTTTAACTTGGTATGCCACCAAGGAGGGCCTGATGTTGACTTTTAATAATGGTGTTCACAATCTATTAGATGAGAATTAGATTTTCTAATTCAAAGAATTGGTTCTGATCGTGATATTTCAGATCGACACGATCTGAAAAAGATCAAGCAAAAATCATTTAGCTGTCAAGGGGAACATAGCAGTGCTGAGGTGAAGCTATGTAGGTGCGACGAGGAGCAAGCTGGTCTTTATGGAGCTTTTTAAGCCAAACCAGGTGGGTGGCTATGCTTTTCACCTCGTAGTAGGGCGAGGAAGGAAAGGTGGGAAAGAGGGAGGAAGGACGTGTGCCTAAGGTAGAGGTAGGGATGCAGTCTCTGTAGACAGGTAGTGCTGGGGGCCACCATGGGCTAGGTGTGCAGATTTAGGGGTGAGGCTACCGGGATTTGACTTCGAACTCTGCTCCTTAGTAACTGTCTATTGCCATTATGAGAATTAGGTGCTGGAACATGTAAAGGGGGTAACAGTGAGATTTGTTTACTGTAACTGGTCAGGCTAGTTTCTTATTTTATTATTGAATATCATAACAAGGAATTTAAATTTGATGTGAGAGTAGATAAGGAGTCCTACCACATGACGGTTACATTCACTTATTCACTCTTTCATTCTCCTGTATAAAATTGAAGTATAATTGACATGCAGTATTAAGTTTTATACTTACAACGTATTCATTCACTCTTTTATTCACCAAATATTCACCAAATATTCACTGAATTCCTCCTAATATTGAGGGTATTACTTTGGACAAGATAAAATTGCCTTTTTTCAAAGTGCCTAAAAAAGCCATTTATGAAAATGAGGCAGCTATGACCTGTTTTAAAGTACAAGACAGACTGGACTTGGTTCCATCTGGTGTACAAGTAAATAGCAGTTAGAGATGGGGGCTAACACTGTGTTTGCTTTGATTTGCTTCTTTTTTCCATTTTATTTTCATGGCATAATCATAACCTATACCACTGGGCACATGAATTCAGTATGCTGCAAACCTCTCGCAGTTTCGGTTTCCTTATTTGTAAAACAGGGCTATGAATAGTATCTATCACTCAGGCGGGGTGAAAGAAGACATGGGTCTGGCAGCAGCAGGAACAACAGTACAGAGTAAAACCATGACTTTTCCCTCACCTTTCCATGCTCTTTCCACATTGCTTGGGAAACAAAACTCACTGATTTAGTTAGCTGTCATTCATAGTTCCCAATATTTAGGCAGTAGACTTTCTGGACACTTTATATGACCCTTGTGTAGTGGTCAGATCCCAGGTTATCGGGAGGAAAAATGAACTGAAATATGGGCTGAAGTAGCAGATTATGTCATAATTAAATAGAGGCAAGGGAAAGTTCAGCAAGGGCAGGGGTCAGATGGAATCTGCCAGAATTCTCCGAGGGCCTCTTTGTGCATGACAATAGTTTTCTGTACCTCATTTACTCATCTGTAAACCAAGGTAACATTACTTACTTAATGGGGTTATTGGGGGCACTTTTCAGGTGATGGATTAAATGGTTGGAAATAAAAGCTTACATAAGCACAAAATAGATGGTAATCACTGTCATCATTGAGAAATATCTATAATTTGGAAATCCAAAAGGGCAGAATACTCATAAAAATATTCTTTTTAAAAAGAATACTAAAATATTCTCTTAAAAAAGATACTATAAAGAAGAAAAAAATCATATGTAGTTTCTAACTAAAATATAAAACCCCTTAAACCTTTGGAGGATGTGAAAGAAAAAACAGTTCCTCATCATATTTAACTTTCCCTCTTTGACTCATATTGTAGGCATACCCGACTTTCAAAGTCTTTGAGTAACACACTTTATGAAAGACCTAGCTGTCTGGTTAACTAAGAGAAATCCTAAGAGGATTTTTGCCTTTAGGACAAAAAATGGCAAAAAGTGAAAATAGCTTTTCACAGCAAACTTTCTTGGAGACTTATCTTGAGCTGGAAGTGTGGTATGCCAAGCTCCTTCCCTGGAGCCTGCTTTATGCAACTTGTGTATTTGCCCTCTCATTAACCTCTTTTAATGCATGCAAGTGTTAGTTTAGGTTTTATGTGCTATGTAGGGTGATTGGTAGATTACTTTTTGGATCTGAGAAGTTTAAAAAATGTTCATACAAATTAAAGCTACTTTTTTATTGGCTTTAGATGATTTTGACTTAGGACATGTATAGCAGCAATACTCTTTATCCTCAGGGAAAACATTCTAAGAACTTGGGTGTGCACCTGAAATTGTGGCTACTCTCAAACCCTATACACACTATGTTTTGTCCATGTAGATGTTCATAAATTAAACGAAGTTTATGAATTCACAAAATCTTTATGAATGCAGCCTCTCTCTCTGTGTTTTCTCTATCTCTCTCCCTCAGAATATCTTGTACGTAGTGTTTTGAACTGTGGTTGAAAACAGGTAATTAAAATGTGAAAGTGAAAACATGGATAAGGGGGGAATAACTGTGGTTTTGGATGATGGGGGAAGCCTGTACTTTTTTGATATACGTATCTACTTTCTCATGCATTTAAAAATCATTGTCTGCCTGTACTATGTCCCTTAATTAGAGATTAAGGGCTTAAGACTAGCTTCCTCTCTAGGCACCTGTAGCCCAGGAGCTAATCAATTAATCAATGCTGACTTCTCTAACCTCAGTCACTTTAGTCTGTCTGCTTATAAATATATAAAAAAGAGAGTGATCAGTAACAATTATTTTAGTAGTTTGCGTCTGATTTTAGGAATATATTGATGGCACATTAAAATAATCAAACCTAGACTTTGTCTTCCTAAATTCATCTAAAATATTTCTCTGTCTTTCAGAGGTCAATAGTTTTAAAACTAGCTATCTTAGATGCTGTTTTGTATCTTAGATATTTTCTTCAAATAAATTTAAGTTGTTTTAATCAATTTTTTTAACAGAAAATTTGTTAGAATTAAGAATGGATGCTATCAAACCTCAAACTTTGAACTCTGACCTGCTGCTACATTGATTCCCTGTGGGCCACACCCATAATATAATATTAGTCATACACATTTTTAAGCTGTAAATCTTTGCTCAACTGTAAAAAGGGTTATAAAAATTTGTATTTATGTTTACTTTACATAGAACTCATTACTTGGAGCATATATATCTTTTAGGGCAAAACAATACAGATCTAATCGTGAATAGAAGGTTTTACATAGGTTTTAGTGCATGATAGTCCTAGAAATATGTGCAGAGTAATGCTAGTCAATGGATCCTGGACAATGGATCCTCAGAGGCAAGGTTGCTAAGCGATTGTGTTTGCATAAAACAGAATTATTCCTCTGCATAACTCACTTGTATTCAGGGTAAGATAAGCATTCATGACAAACATTCTCTAAGAATACAGATCTTTTCCAACTCTTTTGCCATAGTAACAGAACCTAGTCTCAACCTAACAATAGTTTTTAACTTTATATTAGTACATAATAGCTATAGAAAGCTGAATTTCAAGACTGGGAATGTATGAATGTATTCGCCGAT